CCCCCGGCCGGCGAAAACGAGAACGCCCCCCACTTCTGAGGGTGTGTGTGTCTTACCCCTGTTGGTTCTCTGCAACTGGATTTTCCACGTGGAAACAGGGGCAGAGGTGAATGGTGCGAGGGTGGCCCCTGTCGATCGGGGGGCTGACTGGCGGAAGGGGGGGTGTGCTGGGTAGAATCGTGTTGGGGCTTGATGGCAAGTTGCTTCTTTGCAAGCCTTGACTTGGTCCACGGTGAGTGGTGAGCAGATCCAACAAAGGCTTGTCTTTCTTTTGAGATGATTTGCCTTGGCTGCGTGTTCAGCTACGCAGCACAAGTCATCCTAATCCGGCAAATACTGCAACCTCAATCGCCAATATATCGACCGTTATTGCGCAGCGACGCCAAGCCCATTGAGGGAGCAGAGGCCACGGCCCAGTACCTCTCTACACTGGGCCACCTTGCCAAGGTGGTGAGCAGTCGCTTTCGGCGCTTCACATGTCGCCTTGTGGCACAATCGCATCATCGTGACAATTCGACTACTCCGCAGAACAGTTCCCTGCCAGGTCTTATCTGGATTTTTGCCGGTTGCGGAATCACGAGGTCCTCAATTGGAGGGTCGGCAATGCGACAGGTGTTTGGTCGAGTACTGTGTATGGCGACATGGTGACATGATCGTCGTCTTGGTGATGTGTCGTTTTCCGTGCGGGGGTTCGTAAAAGGGGGGTTGCATCGCATCAAGGCGTCGTATCGCATCAGGGCGCTCGAGATGGCCATGTGTGCTGTGCTGTCCCGTCCCCACCACGGGAGGAGATGATGCGTCACTGGAGGGACGGTTGTTGATCGCCCGCATGCACAGTATGTATCCATGCTGACGAGAGCTCCCTCTCTCTTCATACTCCCGTATCGGACAGGTCATGATGGCACCCGCGTTTCACGTCGGTGTACATGTAGGGTCTGTGGTCATTCGGCGCTTGAACAAAGGCTTTGTTCTGTATCGCGCTGGTAGCTCCCTGCAGTACCAGGCCAAGCAGGCTTCTTTCGAGTAACCATCCATGGCGCCATATTGAGTTTACCCTACACCGGATCAACAGTCCCGTCCACGCAAGCCGTCCGCGGCCCTACCAGTCCACCCGAACGAATTATCTCCCCGAGACTGCTATTTTCGGCTGTCCACCGAGCATCCATCGCTCGCAGCCCACAGCCCACCGACGACAACACACGAGGCTGGCGGCGGGCTTGGGCAGAGGGGTGGCATGTAATGCTGGCGGGCTGCCGCCATCCTACAGTGGTCGCGTCAGCGCAACCCACCGGATTCGGACGGCACGGCTGGGTCACGCGGCCCCTCTGTTGATCGGTGCGCGGTCATAAATTCGGTTTGGCGGACGGACGCGAGCCCAGTGGGCTGAGTGAGCGACAGGCGTTGGGTTACTGTGCCGCGCGGAGTAGGTAGGTACTATATCCACATCGGACGACTTGAGGGACCATCGCTGGGCTCGCAACTATGTTGTGTTGCCATGATTCAGCTGTTGGGTCCATCTGTCGTAGGCTAGGGGCATCAGCCACGGGCATCGGCGATGCTGCGCCGAAGGAGGCCGTGGGCGCCGGCGACATGGCTCGGCATCTTTACTTATCGGATTCGGCGCGACTGGAGTTTCACGGCAAGACTCCAGACCGCCCGCGTACCTCTACATGGCAGCTCAGCGATGGGAGGCTTTGTTCTCCACCCTGTTACTGGGTGGAGGAAAGGCAGTCTGTCGCTCTTCGCCACGCACAGAAAGGCTCGTTATCGTGATTGCCAACGCCATGTCTCGGGTGGACAAGGAACAAAGCCACAGGTGGTGGGCAGGCGTCGACGTGACGGCCGCCGGGTCAGGCTGTCAGCAAGTTTGCCGTTTTATGCCCGGGGCGGTCTGCCTGCCGGGTTCGTTCAAGTTACAAGTAGTTGGGGGCGGGCCAGCAGCGGTGGGAAGGGCGAATGGCACGTCTCGAGGCTCGTCCATCCCAGGCATCAAACGAAAAAGACTTGGAGCCGAAGTACACATGGCAACCTAGGTACTTGGGCGTCAAGTACATCTCACGCCGTCTCCTCGAAGCCGACGGATGGGATGGGATGGAAATGGAGCAACAAACCGGTTACCAATGCCCTCCTCTGGTTTGCTAGGGGCGTGTTCCGCACCCCGGGCGGTCTGACAAGAGATTGGCGATCTGTTGCCGTGTCTTTACCCATGTTGGGATTTCCACGAGACCGCCATTTGCATCCTGCCGCCCCCCCCACTCTCTCTCTCTCTCTCACCCCTCACCCCTCCACCCTTCACCTTCACCGTCTTGGTGACTCTTTCGTTTGCGGGTGCTTGAATGGAAGGGCCCCCCCCGCGCCGCAATCCTGCGTCCACGTATGCGTGTGCCTCGTGCGTTTGGCTGCGACATGTGCCCCTGCGAGCCATGCCACTGGGTGCAGCAGCGCAGCAGGAAGCGCAGCACAAGTGCAGGGAGGCAGATCACCTGCGCATCGCAAGGCAGCAAAGCAGTACAGTACCAGGTAGGAGGGGGGGGGAGGGGGTGGGGTTTTGGGCGCGGAACAGCGTGTGCGTGTCGCGGGGGGGGTTGCGCTGTTTGGCACATGTCATGATCCCCATTGGGGATCCGGGCATTGGGTTTTGCGGTGAGGGTCGAACGGGCGGCACCAGGTCACCTCTGGACTCTGACTGGTGGGAACTGCAGATGAAGGGATGGCCTCGATATTGCCTGGCTGTCGCGGGGGAATGGAGGGTGAGCTGTTATTCCCAGGCTGACCGGCGGGCTGGTAATCAGATGCTGATGTTCCCCAGCTCTCGGTACAGAGGAGACATCACTAACGCCCACTAATCAGGTAAAGCTGGTGTATGCAGCAATGGACCAGAACACTGCACACACCCACGACAGGACGCGGCCCAGCACAGCACTCGGTGCACTGCACGTAGCACGTAGCACGTAGCACGTAGCACGCGAGGAAACGGTTGACTGGTGATACGGCGAGGGCGATGCCGCGCCGCCGGACTGTCGCGCCAAGCAGGCGCCGCTGCGCTCTCGGACGGCTGTGGGCTTCAGCTCTAAGCTCCAAGCTCCAAGCTCCGTGAAGGTTTGCTTGCTTATGCGCTTCCGTCCGCGTAGCTTGTGCGGGGGGATTGTGGGAATGACCCGCTGAGCCGCTACATCGACGGCAAGACTTGAGCAGCAGCAGAGCAGCACGATTGGGTCTATGGCCGAGGCCCATCGTCTCCATGCTTCGTGCTGAGTCGTGATCCTCATTCAATCATCCCGATGCCAGAGCGAAGACCTCCAGGACACAACCACATGACGGGCTTGGCAATATGGTCGAGGACGATGACTGGAGCGGCACGTTGCGGCTGTTTCAAGTGTGCGTAACGGCGTCGATAGACCTTCGCTGCTGCAACACGGCTGACATGGCATTCTTGAGATCGGCATCGCTGACGGCCCCTATGAGGTGTGCAGACTGATCGAATGCCAGTGCTACGCTTCCTACGATGCTTCACCGTTGGCAACGCCATCGCGCTCACCGTCGTGGTCGCGCTGGTGGACTTTAAACTTTGGGGGCTTCATGTTACCCCACGGACGTTGGCCAGGAAAGGAGAGGGGGGGGGGGGGGAGGGGAGGAGTAGTACTCGATTGACGGCTCCAAGCACCCGACAGCCTTGAGAACTCTACCGACAGCTCGTATCGCTCCCGGTAATGCCTGATTCGAGCACCGCATGCGAAGGCTCGATGGCCGCCATGACCCCAATGACCTCATGAATCATCTCGACTGCGCAGCATGCTTCCTCGAGCCCGCCCATCGCCCCGTTCTGCCCGTCCGTGTGAAACCTTGACAGAGTGGGAAGCCCTCGACAGAGTGGGAAGCCCTCGACAGAGTCGGCCTCTCTGACGTCGAACACAGCCAGGGCAAATCTAACAAACTTTACGCTCGGTCCTGAACCCGCCAGCACGGTCCCACCCCGCGGGCTCTGCGGCCGCCGACGCCGTCCGCTTGCCCGCCGCGGTTTTCCCTTTCCAGTCCTTTCCCTGGCGCTAACCCGCTCTGTTGCCGCGCTCCGGAGCTTCGTTGAGACTGGAAGCTATGATTTCTTCAGATGAAGAAAAAAAAAATCTTATCGACGAGCGAAGGGAGAGGGGGGGTGAAAGGGCATACAGATGATCCGGGCGTGCCATGCTTGCGCAGGTCGACCTGGACTTTACTTTACTATGCCAGTTTGAGGAGTACATGCGCCGCTCGTGGTTCCCCTTCGAGTCAGACAACTTGGTCAGAAAATAAAAACTTTGAGATGTACAGCAAAACGGGATCTCGCGGTACAGTTTCGGCAGTTGAGGTTGTTCCTTGCAGAAGCGCTGGGTAGGAAAAGAGAAGGGGGTTTCCCACCCCTCGCTCTTCTCCCTCCTTCAGTGCGCAGTGCGAGCAGGGGACATGGCCCACCGCACGACTCTCGCAAAAGGACGCGGTTGGCTATTGCGCTCCAGGTAAGCTTTTTTCTTTGCATGTTGATCTCTTCGAAACGACCCTCCATCCCGGGACCCCGAGAGTCAGGCCCTGCGCTCATCATCATCGACGACGACGCAGGGCCGTTTTCGTGATCGATGGCACCCTGCGTGTCCCGCCCGCGGCACTGCTCGCGCGGTGCCAGGTTGCAGGGCGCTCGGTTGATCCGGGACGGACGGGATCTCGATGGGACGAGGTCGCACCCGCCCTCTGGTCTTGGGGCAAGGTGACATTGGAAGGGACAGGGATCGGAGGAGGGGAGAAAGGGTTGCAGAGGAGAAACGGCGAGGAGACAGTACTGGCGCATTGTGTGTTGTGCCAAGCTGGGCCAGTCGAGTCGCGCCGCGCCCTTGGGGATGCAATGTGCAACTATGTTTTCCACCCTTGTCGCGAGTCAACATGTGCTTCTGCTTGTGCTTCAGTCTCTGCTGCAAGAGGAACGCTCCGTGTGGATGCGAGTCGTGATGGTGCACACTCCCCTCATCAACTCACTCGTCGACGGCCTCGACATCGGCCCCCGGGTTCGGCATCTGCGTCGAGCTGATCCAGTTCTCCATGACGGCCTGACCAGCGGGCGCAGCAGCCCCTGGCGCAGCAGACGCAGCGGACCGCCCCGAGGCTGCCGGGGCCCTGTGCGTGTCGCGCCTCTTGACCACGAGGCACAGCACGCGTCCGTGGATGGCAAAGCCGTCAAACGAGACGTCCATGGCCATCTTCTTCTTGTCGTCGCCGTCGCCGTCGTCGTCGTCGTCCTGGTGGTCGTGACCGCCACGTGCGCCGCCCACCGCCTTCTCGGCACCCTCGGGAAGACGCTCGTCCTGCTTTCTCCGACGCTTCGAGGGCGGTGACGCCTCGGAGTCGTCGGCATGGTCGTCTACGAAGAGACCGTCGTTGATTTCGTCGTCTTCGTTTTCGCCGTCGTTGGCCTTGTCGTCGGCCTTTTCGTCGGTCTTTTCGTCGGCCCGCTCACCGCCAGGCTCGTCATCCGATGTCGACGCAAACTCGTCGTCGCCAGGGACGCCCGTGTGGGAGAAGGCACGGCGTCGCTTGGCGGGTCGCGCAGGCGGTGCCGCGTCGTCTTGGCGCGTGGGAATCTCGGCCAGCGCCGCCACGGCATCTTCGTCATCCGACTCTTCGCGAATGACGACGGTGCCCTGCTGCTGCTGCTGCTGCTGCTGCTGCTGCTTCTGCTCCTGCTTCTGCTGCTGCCGCCCCAGGAAGGCCTCGACGTCGACGGGCGCGGCATTCGTCTCGGCAATGAGGCGGCCCTGCACGCCGGGTCCCCCGCGGGCGGCGTCGTCCGCGCCCTTGTCGCCCTTGTCGCGAAAGCGGCGCTGCTTCGCGAGCAGGGCGTGGCGCGTCGGCGTCTCGGTCAGGAAGACGGAGACCTCGAAGCCGTCGCCGGCGACGACGTCTTTGATCTGGCGCCGCTTGGTCGTCTTCTTGCGGTGGGCGCGGGCGCGGGCCTGCTCCTCGCGCAGCTTGGGCAGCACGAGGGGCCGCACGGCGTCCATGACGCGCGGCAGCACGGGGTCGCGCGGGTGCAGCAGCCACGAGGCGGCGAGGGCCGGGTTGTCGAGGTAGATGCGGCATTCGAGGACCGAGTATTTGGTGATGCGGAGGTAGCGGCGGACGGGGGCCATGGCGTTTTTTTTTTTCCTTTTTCCTTTGGGGCCCTCGCTTGAGTCTGATCGTGGGGGATTTTCGCTGCTTCGCTTTCGCTGCTTCGGTGATAATGTCGAGATGGAGGTGCAAAAGGCAGAGCATCGGCTGAGGCGTAGAGAGGGACGCGACGGGCCATGACGATGATGACGGCTGTGGACCCTGACGCCCCACTGGAGCTTCGCTGCCTGGCGCTGGCGCTCCATGTCCGTGCGTGGGAGCATCGCCTGAAGCTGTTGTGACTTTATCCAGCGGCTGTTTAATCGTAGGAGTTTGCAGGAGTGTATCAGATATTTATTTGGAGTATTCAGTGTCATGTAGCGTCCTGGCTCGATATGGTGGCATTGGATTGACAGAGTATACCATGAACTTCATTGTCCAGGACCAGACTCCTGGTCACCCTATCCGTATCATGCCAGTAGTCAACATCACTTTCTATCCCTTCCGTGCCCAGATTTAGCCTCAGTACTTCGTATGATCGACAGCCGAGGAGCAGTACATAGCAATTTCCAATAGAACTGAAGAATATAGCGCGCAGTACATCTAGATGCCCATACAGTGCCTATATTTAGGGGCATATTCGCCTCAATCATGTAGGAGCTTATACTTGCGGAGATCCACCTTGAGGCTCTTTCCGAGGCCAAATTTGGGGACTAAAGGGATCAAACGACTTTGAGGAGTAGTAGCAGGATAAGACACAGGCAAGGGCGACTTGAGCCGCACTCTTCGTCCTACTCTACATCCGCCAAACACTGGTATCAGACAGACGGCCAACTTTGCAACTCTCTCAACTCGCATGTCTCCAATCAATGAATCCTTCTACTATACGTTGCATTGGCTTAACCTAATAAAGGTAGACTTGTCCTTGATATGTCGCCGGTGATTGAATCAAGAGAATTCCAGAGCAAAGTAGGCTCACCTTGAAGGCGTGTGGCTTTTTATCACGCCTGGGCAGGTCATGGCGTGGTGTGGGAGTTTGGAGGATGCTTCGCCCATGTCCTGTACTGGATGCCTATGCGAGGCATTGATAAAATCAAGCTACGATTTGATAATTGGAATCACTTACTGTGCCAAGCTTGGTCTACTGAGAAGGTCCTTGGGCAACTGTCTTACAGCCGGCAGCTATAAGCTAGGTTGTGACATGGGTCTATATATAACGCTTGCTGCTGGCCTGGCTGATGAGGTGTTTTGGGCATATATAAAGTCAGAGACGAGGAGATGACATGGCAGAAATGAATAGGATATATTCCTTAGAGAGTAACACCTATTCATTTCTGCCATGTCATCTGCTCGTCTCTGACTTTATATAGGGTTGATAGAGGGCGGTGAGCTAATTGAGCACAAAGGTCTGTATCCGGAGGTGACCTTGACTTGACTTTGAGGGTCTTGAAAGAGAAAAATGAAATGAAAAAAAAAACATTGTGCAGAATGCAGAGTCAGAGTGCAGTTTTCTTTTCTTTTTTTCTCTTTCTGGGCCCTTGATGCATTCGTCAACCAGGAGAAGTTACACCAGAAACTACAGATGGATGTCCCTCAACCTGCCGCTCACAATGCCATGTCAACCACTCAACCGTACAAGGAAAGGGTCATTATTTTCTACATGCCAACTTTAAGAAAAAAAGGAAAAAAAAAAAAAAAAAAAAAAAAAAAAAAAAGACCGCCTCCTTCACAGGCACATAGCAGAGAAGAACGCAAGATATAGCGGCCAGACCTCCTCTCAGTGGAGCGCCAGCAGCTGCGGCCCCACTCAAAAATTGCTTGATCGATCAACCGCGACGACCGCGACCGCGACAACGTCAACGTCAACGTCAACGCCCGAGCTTCATCAAACCCACGACACAAAGCGCACAACCAGCTATGCGCCCAACAAGATCATGTCAAAGTCCTGGACATCAACCTTGAGGTTGCCCAAGTCCACCTTGCCGTGAGCCCCCCGCCGACCGCCGCGCCTCGACACCAGCTAACCGGCCCATCACCCGCAGACCTAGGCCCCTCCCCCAGTTCCGAGCCGAATACCTGCGACGATGCACCGATGACCTCTACAAGTGGCAGGCGGCCAATCGCACCGGCGACAAGTTCGTCTTGCACGACGGCCCCCCCTACGCCAACGGCGGCCTCCACGTCGGCCACGGCCTCAACAAGGTCCTCAAGGACATGATCCTGCGCGTCCAGGTCCAGGAGGGCCGCCGCGTCGAATACCGCCCGGGCTGGGACTGCCACGGCCTGCCCATCGAGCTCAAGGCCCTCGGCGATGCCCAGGGCAAGGGCATCGCCGAGGGCAAGGGCATCGCCGAGGGCAAGGGCATCGCCGAGGGCAAGGGCATCGCCGAGGGCAAGGGCAAGGGCATGACCGCTGTCGAGATCCGCACGTCGGCCCGCGCCCTCGCCGCCAAGACGGTGCTCGAGCAGATGGACGCTTTCCGCTCCTTTGCCGTCATGGCCGACTGGGACGCGCGATGGACCACCATGGACCCCGACTACGAGATACGGCAGCTGCGCCTGTTCCAGCAGATGGTGCGAGACGGCCTCATCTACCGCAAGCACAAGCCCGTCTACTGGTCGCCCTCGTCGCGCACCGCCCTCGCCGAGGCCGAGCTCGAGTACAACGAGAACCACGTGTCGACGGCCGCCTACATCCGATTCCCCATCGCCGCCGACGCCAACGCCATCATGGACGAGGTCCGGCACGCGAGAGGCTTGGAGGGCCGAAACCTCTACGCCATCATCTGGACGACGACACCCTGGACCCTCCCCGCCAACCGGGCCATTGCCGTGCACGACGAGCTCGACTACCACGTCGTCGCCATCCACGGCGATGCGTACATTGTGGCGCAGCAACGAAGCGAGATCCTCGACACCCTCTTTCCCGACACCCGCCGCGAGATTCTGTGGTCGACCAAGGGCGCCAACCTCAAGCAGCTGCGGTACGCCAACAGGCTGCGGGGCAAGTCATCCGCCTCGCAACCCGTCATCCACGCCGACTTTGTGTCGGCCGACGCGGGCTCGGGCCTCGTTCACTGCGCCCCCGGCCACGGCTTCGACGACTACGCCGTCTGCTCTGGCCTCGGCATCGACGCCGCGGCCCCCATCGACGACGAGGGCCACTTCACCAGGGACGCCTTTCCCGACGCCCCGGAACGCCTCACCGACGCCTCTCCCATCCTCAAGGGCGGCAGCAAGGCCGTGCTGGCGCTCCTCGACGAGCACGCCGACGTGCTGCACGTCGAGAGGTACAGGCACAAGTACCCCTACGACTGGCGCACCAAGCAGCCCGTCGTCGTCCGCGCCACGCAGCAGTGGTTCGCCGACGTCGACAGCATCAAGGCCGGCGCCCTCGCCGCCCTCGAGCACGTCAGGTTCGTGCCCGACGCCGGCCGCAAGAGGCTCGAGAGCTTCGTCGCCGGCCGCAGCGAGTGGTGCATCTCGCGCCAGCGCGCCTGGGGCGTGCCCATCCCCGCGCTCTACGACGCCGAGGGCCGCGCCGTCGTCACCGACGAGTCGGTCGACCACATCATCTCGGTCGTTCGCGCGCGCGGCATCGACGCCTGGTTCGCCGACCCGCCGGGGGAGCCCGCCTGGATCGCGCCCTCTCTGAACAAGAACAAGGAAACCACCACCACCTACCGCCGCGGCACCGACACGATGGATGTCTGGTTTGACAGCGGCAGCAGCTGGACGCTGGGCGAGGGGCCGGCCGATGTCTATCTCGAAGGCTCGGATCAGCACCGCGGCTGGTTCCAGTCGAGTCTCCTCACCTACGTCGCCGCGCAGAAGGCCTCTGCCTCGTCGGCCTCTGCCTCGTCGGCCTCTGCCTCGTCGGCCCCTGCCTCGTCGGCCTCTGCCTCGTCGGCCTCTGCCTCGTCGGCCTCTGCCTCGTCGGCCTCTGCCTCGTCGGCCCCTGCCTCGTCAGCCTCTACCTCGTCGGCCCCTGCCTCGCCGTCGGCCTCCTCTCCCTTCAAGACGCTCATCACCCACGGCTTCACCCTCGACGCCAAGGGCAACAAGATGTCCAAGTCCCTGGGCAACATCATCTCGCCGGCCCAGGTCATGGACGGCACCCTGCTGCCGCCGCTCAAGCTCCGCGGCGAGGCGAAGAAGGCGGCCAAGGGTCCCGTGTATGATGCCCTGGGCCCCGACGCCCTGCGCTTGTGGGCCGCCTCGTCCGAGTTCACCAAGGATGTGGCCATTGGCGAAACGACGCTCAAGTCGATCCACTCGGTTCTCATCCGCTACCGCACCATTCTGCGCATGCTCCTCGGTTCCATGCACCCGGCGGCCCGCACCGCGCCGCTGACCGCCGCCGACAGCATCGCGCTCGTGCAGCTCGAGGACGTGACGGCCGACGTGCGCGCCGCCTTTGCCGCCCACGAGTTCTACCGGGCCTTTGCCGCCATCAACCGCTGGGTCGCCAACGACCTGTCGGCCTTCTACCTCGAGGCGTCCAAGGACAGGCTCTACTGCGGCGACGGCGGCGGCGTCATCGAGCCCGTCTTCCACGGCTTGCTGCGCATGCTCGCCCCCATGGCGCCCCTCCTCGTCGAGGAGGCCTGGGCGCACCGGCCCGCGTGGATGCAGCAGGACGCCTCCCTGACGCACCCGCTGCGCGCCCTCGCGTCGACGCCCCTCTTCGACCGCGCCAGACTGACCCACGCCCCGGCGGGGATCCTGAGGGACCTCCCCCCCCCTGGGTTAAATGAGGGGGGGGGAAACACTCCTCCCGTGGAGTGGGGGGGGGTGATACTAAGAAGGGTAGAGGGGCTAAATTTATGGGGGAAAAGGGGCACACCCCCTCTCTAAAATTTTGAAGGACACCCTCCCCCCCCCCCCCAGTGAGCACGAAAGAGTGTGGACCCCGTCTACGGCAAGGAGAAGGTCGGGACAAGTGCATTTTTTCAATACCCTGAAATCGAAGAGGGAAGAGGGGTCTCTCTTGGGGGCGGG